GGGAGGGGGGGGGGGGGAGAGATAGAGGGGCAAAAAGACAAAGACTTACATGAAGTTTGTAAAAGAATACACAATGTTGTTATCTCTTTCTCAATATTTAAAAAATGAACAATGGAGTATGTGAAAATATGAATATTTTTAAAGAAGATGAATTCTAACTATATATTTTATGTTTAAAAAAGGATAGTGTAATATTTTTATATATATGAAATTTTCTTCCTAACTCATAAAAGTTAAATTCTCAATCCCTCCATCAGAATGATTCCATAAGAAAGTGAAATAAAAATAGTTTTTGAAAGATTATCTCTCCTAATTCTTTTTAAATAATTATCAAATGTAAAAAATCAAGATTCCTAATTTAAAATTTTAAAAAAAAGTTAAAACATTCTGCATAACATTAAAATGAACTACTTTCCGTGCTACAGATTCTATGCTGAAAATCATTATAGTTTTAGGCTAAACAAGAATACATTTCATGCTTTGCTTCAATCGGGCATCATTTTGACTTAAGATCAATACATGATGGTACAAAACCTGCTATTGTTTCCCCAATAAAATGCTCTAGAAGATTCATTACACCAAAGAAAATGAGTTGCAATAACTTCACTAAATTGATCGACTTATTCTGGTTAATACATAACTCTCCTTTTTTTTTTTTTTGGTGACTCATGCTATTAAAATTTTAAAAAGTATCTTGCTATGTTGCATTTTCCTTACATGAAGTACCAACCATAGCAATAGAAAAGGCAAAAATCATTCCATCAAATTACAAAGCAATTTATCTCACTCTTTCTTGAATATCTCATATTATCTAAAAATAAAGTCATAATAATGCATATAAGTGGACAATAATCACTAGTAGAAAAAGGAGCTACTACGTCTCTTCATTTACGTCGGAAACTAGCACACCCGACGTTGTAAAAATGCGGTGGCAGTTCCGTAAATAAGAGGAAGAAATTTACGTCGGACATCGATGGGTCCGACGTAAATGATATAATTTACGTCGGACAGCTAATGCAGCCGACGTAAATTATCTCATTTACATCGGACCCATTTTTGTCCGACGTAAATAACTCCTTAAATGAAGGGCGCGCACTATAGATTTCAAATCGTGGCATTCTTCCTCACCTTCACGTTCTCCCGCGCGTTGTGGATTTTTCTTCCTCATCCCTCCGCCTCCTCCTCAAATCGTGGCTGTCTTCCTCATCTTCACGTTCTTCTGTTTTTCTTCTTCGGAGTTGCGTTGGTTTCTTCTTCGCGTGTTGATGGAAATGGCTTAACCATACATCCTGTTTTTCTATGAGGTAGCATCTTCTATCAAGTTTGTGTTTTCTGGGATGTTTTTCTGAGGTAGCATCTGTTTGTGTTAATGTTTGTGTTGCATTTCGTGTTTGTGAAGCTGCAGAAGGAAGTGACCACTGCCTGGGTCTATCAAGCAGAACGGGTCGTTCTCCAAGCAGAACGGCCCGTTCTGCTTGCACTCGTTTTTTTTTGTTTTTTTTTATTTTTATGACTTTTTTACGTCGGACCTTGGCATGTCCGACGTAAATTTACATCAGTTTTTGACCCCCGACGTAAATTTTACGTCTCCCGTATTAACGTCTGATGCTTAAGTAGTTTCTTGATATCTTAAGTAGTTTAAATTGCCTAGAAATTGTCTGTTTGTCTTTTTTACTTTCAAATTCTAGGACCTTGGTCATCTTGAATTCACAGTAAATTCTGCTTTTTGGCCGGTTTTGTTTAAACATTTACAGGAAAAACTTCTTCTCACTGAGGTATGTTGGGAAGATACTTGAGTGCTTTGTATTCTTGTATGCACTATGGTTTGATTTGTGGATAATTCAATGAACATAGTGCTTAAGTTTAGTTGGACTAGATTGTAGATAATGTTGAAATTTTGGAATGCTTACTGTGCTAGAGTAATTGATTTTATTGGTGTTCTTTGTTACAGTCAAAGCTAAAGGAGTCACAATATCAGTTGACACCTTGGCGCTCAGATACAAGCCATGCTAATGTTGCTGTTGCCACACAATCACAATCTCACTTGAGTGGTGCAGCTTTGGCAACATTGGTATGTTCATTTTGTCATTTTGTACCTTTTCCTTGATATGCTTAAATATAATTCTAAATAGTTACATTTTTTTTATCAGAATAAAAATGGCCTTGAACTGGTACCTCAGCATATGTACTCCCAAGTAAAGCCTCAGGTCTCTGTTGATGCTCAGGCAGGCACTGATTGGGATCCATTGGGTCGCCACCAGAATGGCATGAGTGGTGGTGTAGCAATGGAACCAAGTGTTGATGCCGATGATTTGGGGAGATATTCACCTTTTCCAAGCAGGTGAGCCTGGTCAAATGGAGACTGCTACTGTGAACTGAATGTATTGGTGGGTTTTGTTTTCATGGAATCTTTGTTAAAGTGGTCCTGATGCATGCAATGTTGTTCCCTACCATTTGAATGAAGTGGATAGACTATTTTTTCTAGGCAATCTGTTTGTCACTCTTCTTAACAGGGGAGAGATCTTATTATTTAAACATGGAGACTTGTCTTTTTAAGCTGATCCATGAGATGAAATGCATTTTGTATGGCTCCATCGTTATCTAAATCAATGATATTATCATCATTATTAATTATTATCAGTGAATATGTAGGTTGACTAGAAGTCTAGAACTTACATGCTGTGACATGAATGTATTGGTGGGTTCTGTTTTCATGGAATCTTTGTTAAAGTGGTCCTGATGCATGCAATATCGTTCCCTACCATTTGACTAAAGTGGATAGACTATTCTTTCTAGGCAATCTGTTTGGCACTCTTCTTAACAGAGTAAAGATCTTATTATTTAAACATGGGAGACTTGTCATTTTAAGCTGATCCATGAGATGACATGCATTTTGTATGACTCCATTATTTAAATCAATGATATTGTTGTCATTATTAGTTATTATTAGTGAATATGTAGGTTGATTACAACTAACATAGTGTGACATGGTTGACAAATGGTTAGGGGTTCGATTCTCAGGTTCACATGTATCTGAAACAGCTGCTGGGAGATATTAACCCATTAAATGTATCTCAATACTTTGAAGGATTAGTCTTTAGCTTTCAGCTGGAGGATACCTGGACTTTACCAATAAATATTGGTTGACTAGATTTTCTATTGTAATCCTAAAAGTAACTGTTTAGAATTCAAGATGGTATTTTAGAGCTTAGCATAGATCTGAACTTGGGCTACCCTGGTGCAATATAAAAAAAATCAGTTCTACAATCTCCATAATCTAGATGCCCAATCCTAGGTGGGAGGTGTGTGTTGAGATTCTGCATCACCTGTAGAATATAGATATGGCCGAAGTAGAACTTATAAAGGGTTAAACAATTCTCACTTCAGGAGATGACTTTTGGGGTTTTGTTAGGCAGTAGGCACAGACCAAATTCAAGACAGGTATTCAATTATTGGGGGTACTTGAATGAAACTTTTTGCCCTTGGGACGGTTATTGATATGTGCATTTAGTTGTCCTGTCAGATATAGACTAATAGACTATAAAATAGGAAATTTAATTCTTGTGTTACTACAATGTTGCCAATTGCCAGCATGTAATGCTTCATAATGTTGTTCCAACGATAAATCATTGTATAATAATTGTGGAGTTGGCTTTGGTATCAAGGTTTCAAGTTGGCTTAGATAAGGATAATTCTGAAGTCTTGCATGTTGGCTTAGATAATTTTTTCTCTGAAGTCTTGTTTGTAGGGTTTGGTAGCTTAGTTCCTATTATTGATTATCTCTGTTGCCTGTTGGATAAAGTCTACTCCAGAACAAGTTGCTTAACTAATACTGATTTTTAATTGCAATGGGGCCTCAGGAAGGGATACTGTTCTGATTGCATGGATGTTTCAATATAGATAAAATGAATTCGTGCTTAGTTGAGATAAACTTGTTTATCTACCTTGTCTTATTTCATACCCCCTGGAATCTATGTCTCTCAGCTTGTTATTAAAATTTGTTGATTAAAATAGAAATTCTCTTATTTTTTGTCTCTTACAATTTGAGAAGGTCTGTAATCTATTAGCGATTTTTTAATAAAAAAAATGAATAAATGCTAATTATATGATTTTCCACCTGTATTCCAATTCTCACACATTTCTAACTAGGATGACGATAACAGTCATTCATGCAATCTTGTGTGGCATAGCCAGATACTCACCATCTCAAATGCATTTGATGCATGAAGCTACAACCAACACAGACATGCTAATCATTCATTAGCAACAAATTTTATATGAACATGTTAATAACGTAATATTTATTGGCAGATATTTAACTATATACTTCCAACAATAGACTGATAAGTAAATTTTCGCAGGTTTATAGGGAAACTCTTCCCTGTGGGAAAGTGGTAGCCATAAAACGAGCTCAAAAAGAATCAAAGCAGGGAGGGCCAGAATTCAAAGCTGAGATTGAACTTCTTTCAAGGGTCCACCACAAGAATCTGGTTAGCCTTGTGGGATTCTTCTTTGAACGAGAAGAACAAATGCTAGTTTATGAGTTTGTCCAAAATGGAGCTTTGAAGGATGCTCTCACGGGTATTTGTATATCTCCAGCCTGGTACTTAAAGCAAATATTACTATTTGTATTAAATTTTTAACTAATTAAATTGGATTATTACCTTTACATGCACCTTTTGGCCAGTACTCACCATTCAGTTTCCTCAGTGTTACCACATTGACAAAGCACTACATAATATCTGTTGTATCTGATGGAGCCATTATTTAAAAGGATAGATGAAGACACGAATAAGACAGATTCTTACTAAATTTGTCATACTTTAACAGTAAAATGGGAGAGTTTCTTACTCAAGGTTAGCACACATAATAGAGCAAGATAATAGAGAAAATAACCTAGCATGATCCTTTAATGCTCTGTTCATCTGCTATTGGACAGTACACTTCACTTTATCAATTGTCATCTAGGAACGGTGATAAAGCTAATGAGAATATCCTTTTACACAAGATTAAACAGCAGAACTATGTAATTGGTCTAAATAAATTTCATGTCTTTAGCAAAAGAAAATATATTAAAAAGAGAGAGAGATATAACCATAAAAAACAAGGAAATAATGTAGGAGAGAAAAGATAAATACAGACAATATGACTAATATGATTTGTTTCACTAATATGAATTGTTTCTTTGTTAGCATTATCTAAAGTAGATATCTCAAAAAGAAAAAAAGTCTCTTACAGTACTAAAAGACCAAAATATGTTAACATAAAGAAAAGAGACCAAAGTAAACTATCACCATTATATGGTAAATTCAACACTTTCTCCCCTTTTGATGTGTGAATTTTTCCCCACTCCCAACACGTGCCATGATCAATGCCTGTCTAGTTATATCCCAAATTTCAGTACCTTCTATTGCCAATCTTCTATCAAATATCATTTGCAAAATATCATAAATCTTCTTACAACTTTTGCACGTCTCCTACACATAACAATAAATTTAGAATTATCTGATGCATTTTGAAATGCAAATATACAAAGTTATTTAAATGAATGACATAATCTTACCCCTATTATATTTCCGATGGATATACTCGTCGGTAATTTCTGACAGATACAAATTTGTCAAAAAATTTATATTTTCGATGAAAAAAATTCGTAAGAAAAGTTATATAACTGATGGAATATTTATTATGAATTTATATTTGTTGAAAATGTAAGAACTTTTGACGAAAATTTTTGACAAATGCTTAAGTCAAAATTTTTTGACGGAATGTTACTAACGAAAAATGGTTTGTAAAAAATTTTATCTGTCAAAAATGTTTTATAATCTATCAGAAATTGTATTCATCAGAAATGTTTAGTATTTCGTTCGATAATAATAAAGATGATTAAAATTGACAATCATATATTAAAAAATATCAATAAAATTTTAACTATATATATATATATATGTAAAAATAGCTCAGATTTTGAGGTTGATCAGTTCTTGAATCAAACACTTGAATATATTCAAGTCCAACAACTAAATTTATAGAAGGTGAAAAAGGGTAAGGTTCAAGTGCATAGTAATGAGATACACAATTAAATTATGTGTATCTCATGACTATGTACTTGGACCTTACTCCTCCCCACCTTCTATAAATTTAGTTGTTGGACTTGAATATATTTAAGTGTTAGGTTCAAGAATTGATCAACATCAAAATATGAGTTATTTTTACACTAGTGCAAAATTACGTTTCTATGATGGGATTCTATGTCAATTGTAATCGACCAACAAAGAAAGTGACGTGATGACAAACTTGTAATATAACGAACCTTTATATGTTGGCTATAAAATTAACCAACATAAAAAATACAGGTGAGACAACATCTGACATAAAATATGTTGGGGTGTGTCAAAGTAACTTATCCCAACCTTTCTATGCTAGGTGACAATGCACCTATTATAGAATTATCATTCTATGTCAATTAAAAGCAAAACCGACATAGTATGGTTTTTTAATAGGGTTCCTAAAGAGAAGTAAGTTTGAACTCTCTATTTTGTTCTCTCATTTCTCTCTAATGACTCTATTCTACTCCTAACATCACCTCATGCTCCCACCTTCCTACTCAGGTCAACTCGAGCATCCCAGCTTTTTGGTGACGTCAACAAATTTGACAACATCCACACATTCTAGCCACCACTACGACCCAATGAGTTCTATAGAGAAAAGATAAATACTAGAAATGAGGTTGAATAATGTGTATAAAAAATTTGCACATTTTTCATAATAAAGTAGTAATGCTAGTTAGATGGTGTGCAAAAAGAGGTTAGACAAAACACTAGGTATTTTTATATTGGTTCATCTCAACCACTGAGACTAAATCCAATTCTCAATTCAATCAGATTGAGTTTTACTATCTTTCAACAAAGATATAAGTATTCTTTCAACAAATCAAGTATTCCTTGAATTGTCTCTTCAAGCAATTACCTAAGTATCTTTTTCATAGCATGCCTATCCAAACTAGCATTACTACTAAATAAATATTTATAATTTTATAAATTATATTATCATTATAAATTATAAAAATAATATTTTAAAGTATATAAATTATTATTTAACTTTTAAATTTATAATAAATAATTTACATTGTATCATAATATTAATTTTAAATAGGAATAAGTAGATTGTTAATTATAAAAGTAAGTATATATACAAATAAAAATTAATTAAATATAATATAATTATTATTATTGGTTAATATAATTATTATATATATTATTATAATTTTTATAACAGTCCAAACACATTAGAATGAGAGGGGTTCAGAGATAAGAATCCTAAAAAGAAATGTAAAGATGAGATACAATGTTAATAAAATAGAGAAACAATGAGCGATAATAAATTACAGACAATAAGAACAAAAGAATATAGAAGAAGGTGGAGATAGTGAGGAGAATTACTTGGAGGAAAAACGCATATGACCTTACACCTTTTCCTTTGACACAAACCCGTGAGCTTACAGTTAAAAACAAAATAAAAAAGAAAGAAGATATTACAAAAACTAAAAAGGGTAGAAGAGGAGGTAGAGAGGTCGGATAAGAAAGTGATGAAGAAGAAAAGATGAAAGGGGTAGAAAAGAAAGAAGATCAGGGGTGCGGGAAAAAGAAAGAAGAAGAGGGGTGTGGGGAAGAGAAAGAACAGGGGGTGCGAGGTGCGGGAAAAAAGAAGAAGAGGAGTGCGGGAAAGAGAAAGAAGAGGGGTGCGTAATGTCAGTAGGTGGTCTTGTAAGAGAAAAACTCGTACTTGTTCTATGGAAAGGAAATCTGCAATGGTTGAACCTTATGTACGCATGTGATGTCCCGGTATTGAGAAAGAAATCAGCCTGGAATGGATCGTATACTTCAAATTTCGAGTCAACAACCCTAACTCGAGCTCTTATATAAAAGAAAATCTTTGTGAAAAAGCTTTAGTATAAAGGATACTTACCAAAGTCAAGTCCTTCACCGGCAAATAGCCTTTCTTATGCTGGTTATGGTATGGCTAGTCTTTTTTTCTATTCAGAATGATTGTAAAAGTATATTCATATTACCCTTGAAAGTTGCTTGATGACATTGAGCGGATTCTTATTCCTGTGGAAAAAGGCTTTGGGAAGAAGAGGGGTGTGGGGTGTGGGGTGCCGGGAAGAGGGTGCCGGGAAGAGAGATGTAAATTTAGGAATTTCATTTTTTTTTAAAAAGGGTAATTTAGAGATTTTATATATATATTTTTTAAAATGGGGTGTGTTTATACGAGAACGGAGGTGTGTTTATCATCTGCCACATTGAATTCTTCATCGTGGTTTTCACAAGTATCTTGTTACCACTACTGTACTTTGCCTTTGGGCTTTCTTCAATTTGGGCCTTAAAACTTTTGGGGTTTGAAGGTAAACATAAACTCAATTGGTATGCATCAGAATTACGGATGGCAATGGGGTCCCGTGGGGGCGGGTAATAGTAAACTCGCCCCCCTCGGTGAATGAAAATTGGCCCTATACCCACCTCATATCCGCGCGGGTATCCATTAAGTGGGTATCCATAAATTTCTTGAATATCCACGGATATCTATGGATATTTATAAATTTTTAAGAAATTAAAAAAATTATATTACAAATAATTTTAAATTTATATTTAATGTCATTGAAATATTAAAAATAAAAATTCAATGTTAATTTTGTTGAAATAATAATAAAATGCAAGATAATCAATAACTTAAAATACATCAATTTCACAAGTAAGTTAAAGTTTCATCACAAAGCTACAATAATTCAATCTCATAATTCCAAACAAAAGTAAACAACTTAAAATACATAAATTTTATTGGTCTAAGCAAAGCTAGAAAATTAATCAAATTACATCCAACATAATTCTATAACATGCTTAACACATGTTGGTAACTTCATCAACCTCACTTTTCTAGGAAAATAAGATGAGAGAGTGTAGTTTTAGGGTTATGTGGTACAAGTATAATTATGATATTTAAGAAATATTATTAAACGGGTACCCGCAAGTATGAATATCATCATACCCGCCCCCGCCCCATTTATAAACGGGTAAAAATTTATTCGTCCCCATTATTCGTGGGTACCCAATTAGTCTATCCATTTATTATCCGTAACAGATTTTACCCGCAGATACCCACGAGTATAGGTATTTTTGTCATCCCTAATCAGAATCATCACTCGCATTTAGAGTGATACACGGTTGTTGTTGTGGTCGTCGTCGCATGTGAAGATGAGTTCAATCGCTCAAAGAATTCTTTGTTAGAATAATCATTCTTGAATGTTAATGAAATAATGACTCATGTTTTAGCTTCTTATAGGTTTTATTTAGATAGTATTTATTATTTTTTTAACATTCTTTTTTCTGTTTGATAATGTTTACTACTTATTATCCTAATGTTGATCGTTAAAAAAATTATACAATAAAATTACAATCATTAAGTAACGACTTTTTTTTCTTTGTCGAATAATTGTGTTATTAAAATCAAATTTAGATTATCTGGTTGTTTAATTCTTTTTCTTAAACTTTATCGTTATTTATTATTTATTACTCGTTTGAAATTTTTTTAAATGCTAAAGTATATGATCGAAAATAAAAAAAATCTGAATAATACTAGCATATTTTTTATTTTAAATTTCTAGAAAATTTT